ATTATTGAGGGATTACAATTAAGTACTTCAACTTTCAAACTGTTAATGAAAGATTTAATAAATATTTAAGGTTAAATGTTAATTTTAGTCATCAATTTTTTAATTTTGTTTTTAAATTATTTTTGACAATTTTTTCGTTCATAAATTATGAAAAATATATATTTTTAGTTTTCATATCATTTAATTTATTAAGTTTATTCATATATACATAATTTTAGTTTCAAAAAATTTAAGAATCAAAGATGTGCATATGTTATAAGTTTAGGAATTAAAAATGTGTATATATAAAGAACTTAATAGACTAAATTGATAAAAAAAACAAAAAAAAATATTTTTCATAGTATAAGAATTAAAAATATATAAAAATAACTCAAAGACAAAAAAAAAAAAACTTAAAATTAACTGTTCAAAAACTAAAAATGACATTTTAACTCAAATTTAGTGACGAGCTGTAACATTCATAGATGAGCTTGGTATCCAGTGAATTAAAGTGAATTGCCTTGCTTTGAGTTTTGTCAAAGAAATTAAAGGTTTTATTCAAAATGAGATTTAGGTGTCATATATACATTTCTATCCTCACTCAGTCAAGTTGTGATCTCTTAGAGACAGGAACGGAACTTGACCAAAATTTTAAAAGGGCCAGTTAATTAAAAAATGTTCTTGAAGGGTAAATTAATAAAAAGAAACTTATGAAGAATTTTTCTCTTGTGCTCAGCCTAGGGTTGAGGGTGGTGGTTACGAGTTTCTCCAAAAGGATTTCTCTCTGGCAAGGAGTTTCTTCTTTCTCTATTGTCTTCTTTCCTTCCCTTCCTCCTCTTGATTTCTTCCTCCCTCTTAGTCGACTGTCTTGCTTTGGAAACTTTAGTCCAAGGTACCATAAGGCAGCGACATCTTTCAATCTACATCAATTGTTGATTTTTGAAGGTTGTGACTGAATATCGAGGGACATAATCTCGCTGGTGGGTTTGGGTTTTCTTATTCACCGGATCAGAATCTCACTTCGACATATCTTCAATTTCGGATGGGATCTTGGCAGGGGTTGCATTCAAAGAACCTGGTACACTCCAATTTTCGACAAGACAACAACATCCTTCGATTTACATCAGAGAACCTAGTGCACTCCAATTTTTGATCTGATAATCAAATATAGAAGAACAGGGATGTTGTGGGTGACTCTGGTTTTAGTTCTGTTGGCCTTCTAAGGAAGTATATGTTTTTGCACTGGTTTTGCTTTGCCAGCCACCTGAACGTAAAACAAACAAGGCATTTTCTACTTGAACGGAGCATTGTGGTGCTAGGAGACACCGCATTGCCAAGTGCCCTAATCTCCCATGCTAGGTTTGGATGACAAAATAGATGTGATTCTAGCAGCGACTGTAAGTTTCAGTGTAGTTTTTCTATGTGATCACATAACTTTATTGATGCCTGTATAACATATACTAGTATTTAGAGGTTTGCAGTTCTTAATTGTTCTATTTGAATGGAGTACCAAACTCTTTATATTAGTGATATAGATCTTACCTAGCTTATTTATTTCTCTTGCATAGCCTATA